CAATCTAGCAGAGGTGCTCACTGTACTGTAAGACAAGAATACCTACTGCACAGAAGAACTCATCTTACTGTAGTATTTTGAAATAAATGAAGGAAACTGAAGAACAAAAATTTGAGGCCAACTTTAAAAATAATAAACTGAGGCACTGTAAAAGAGCACAGTTTGGATGAGTTTTGGGCTAGATCCTCTGAGTGACAGGAGTGGGGCATTTCTGTTGAAGCAAGGATTCAAGTTTCTCCTTACCTGACATGGAGTGTGTTTTGGCACTGCGGTTTTTGGAGCTTTGGATCTTTCTTTGGTCTGGGTGTTAGTGCTTCTGTAAGTTTTTAATGCTACTAAGGCAGTGTAGGGATAGTCTTTCAAAGTGGAAGGCAAGTTAAATATTTTTGGTCCATAAAAAACAAAGAGAAATAACTGTGTATAATTTCTTGGCCACTATGGAAAATACAGTTGCACTGGTGCAGCTGGTACTCGAAGCCAAGACCAGAGGCAGCTTCCCACTTGCTGGCAAGTAAGAGGGAGAAGGTCAGAAGGACAGACTGTGAATGGATAACTCCCAGTGATATCAAGAGGATAAAGGCAGGCAGCTCAGGAACATATAAGGCTTCACAGGCTCTGGAGGAAGATGATGGGAAGAGAAATAGCCCAGCTGGAGCTGATACAGGAGGGCATCATCTTAACCTAGCAGAGGCTGGCTGCTACCTCAGATTATGTAAAAGAACGGAGAGATGAAAAGGCAGTTTCTGGAGATCACAAGGGAGCAAGCTGCTTGTTGAATAAATCTTTTCCCGGTGTCAGTTATCTGCTCCTCCTCTAGCAAAATGCCTCTGTCGCAGGTCCCAGAGCATGGTCCCGTGGAGCATTTTTGCTGCATCAATGCTCCACTACTGCTCTGCTCTTCAGCTCCTCCAGACTGAGATGCTGAGAATGGTAGTCTTTAACACCCTCAGGTTTGGTCAGATGCAAGGTTTTCTGCACTGGTGGCACAGGCCCTAGGAAGCAAGGAGATTTACAAAAAAAAAAAAAAAAAGTCAAAGAAAGTATAAAATGTATGGCCATTTATTTTCCTTTTCTCAATAAAATGTTTGTTACTTTGAACTTGCTAGAAAAGTTTGTGGTGTAACACCTTCAACTACCTTCAACCCAGAGATACTGAGGACTTTTGACTTTGTTGAACCATTAGATAATTTTTTTTTCTACTTGTAATCTCAGTAAAAACAGAGACTTTTTAAAAGTTTGAGTTATTTGTGAAGATTCAGTAATGCAGGTTGCACTCTCCGCTTTCTCCAGCAGCAGCTCCGGAATTTCTCGGGACTCTCCCAGCTCAGGGGAGTGCTGTGGGAGTTGCTGGGGGTGGGGGGAGGCGAGAGGCTTTTACTTATATCTGAACATGTTCGTATATAATTGTGTATATATATTTTTTTTTCTTATATCGTTAGTGTTTAATTAAAGCTGTGCAGTTTAGTTTTCAATCCAGCCAGGTGTCTCTTTTTCTCTCTCTCCTTCCCTACCTGGGCGGGAGGGGGAGGGGATCGAGAGCATTGTTGTCGAACCTGAGTCAAATGGTGACAAATGGCTTTCAAATCTGAGTATTAGTCTGCTTCATGAGGTGATGCAGTGAAATCAGAGAAAGCTCAATTTGTGTTTGATGTTATTGTTTTCTGCTGTGTTATGTGCTGGAAGAAAAGTGCTTACCTTGTATGTGGCTTGGTTGTGGCAGAAGTGACACTGGGGTGCCGGTGCAGAATTCTGAGAGCTTAATTTGAAGGAAGTCCTTGCTCTGTGGAAGCAATTATTAAGACTGCAGTGGGAGGCATCTGGTCATGTGGATGTAGTAATTGTATTCCTCTACTGAGTAAAAGTTAATACATTGCAGCTCTGTATGAACTAGAACCCCTTGTTGCAAACAAGCCCTTAAGTATTTAAATACCCAGGTTCCACTTATTGAAATGTCTTAGGGTCCAACTTGGCCTTCACATGATGACTATGGTAAATTTTCCTCATGAAACTGCATTACATTCATCCTAATTAGCCCTGTTGCTGTAGCCTTAGTAAAGAAACAACAGATAAGAAATACCAGAGGCTGGGCACCCACATCCTTTCCTACCGGAATTAAATCAATTTGAGTCTTACAGTATTCACACAGCTGATTTAATTTGGCTGCTTTCTCTAGATGATGGCAGCAGTGTAGTAGTAGGAAGCTATCACCATTATTACGTGTTCTACTCAAGAGCTGTATCCACTTTGAGTGCTGTCAGGGTAACATTTCTTATTAGCCCTGAAGCAAAGCAAACACACTATTTCAGTAGCAAAAGAAATTAAAGGTTAGTCAATAAATAGCAGTTACTGGCAACAAATTAAGATGAGAAATGTTTCATTGTGGAAATAAGGATGAATGATTTTGTACTGTGAAACTGATTTTTTAAAAAATTTAAATCAAATATATAATTAAGATATTATTATGCACAGAAAAGGTTAGAAACATTAACATCTTTTGTCCATAAGCCAAGTATTGTACTATGTTGAGATCCATGCTGTGAGTTCCCCGTTACTGCTCTGCCAGTGATTTCAACCTGGCATCTAGACTAAACTGTCTCCCTGGGAGCTCAGAGGAAAACTGTTGACATGTGATCTCGGGCATGGGTCTTTCTGGAATGAATAAAAGCACTGTCACATTTTATGAAATTACATCTGCTGGTTGTCAAAGTTATGGCACAGACCAGTATTTGGAAGGAGCTTGTTGGGATTTTACATACCCTTGTAGCTCCATTCAGATAGGTTTCAGCTGCATGACAGAAACTGAAAGCAAGGTAATGATTGTGACGTGTCCACGTGGTAATTTAAAAGTACGTGTCTACACGGTAATTTTAAAGTAGGTGTTAAGAAACACGCAGAACACACAAATTGCTAGCTAAGGCTTGCTGAACAGCCTCGTCACATTGTGTTCGGTGATTGAAGGTGAACAAATGTGACAAGTGTCTGCCATGCAATGCTGAAAATGAAGTTGTCTAATCTCCTCTTCCCCAAGAGAAGCTGCAAAAGAAGTCCAATCCTCTGGAGCCCACAGGCTTCTCCCATTCAGGCACTCAGCTCTGGGAGCCCCAGTAAACACAGCTGCAGTGTGAGACCTTGACTTTGTGTGCTGAGCCCGTCTCATAGTGCAGCAGCCAGTCTTGTAAATCCCTTGAAGATCACCATCAGGGCTTTAAGTAGATGCATCTTGCTTCGATTCTGTATTAGACACATCCTTTGTGCAGGTGATAAATCTGTAGCAACACAGGGGCAGCTGGTGCACCCTGCTCTTTCACTGCTTGTAAAGCTGCCCCAAGCTCATGGTCCTGGCTGTGGATGGCTTTGCCACATGTGTGGCAATCTGAAGTCATCAGAGGTGGTCCTGCTTCTTGTAGGTACCATGTGTGGTGGTGCCCAAGAAGCCATGGGTTTGATGGGATTTCAGAGGTCCTTCTGGACCATTTCTCCTCCCCCAGAGTTGTGAGACCAGTAGGAGAAGTAAGCTGGTAAGAGTATCTAAACCATGTGCTCTTACTCAAGTTATGGAAAGGAAGGAAAACAAAACACTTGTTTGGAGCAATTATCTCTTAAGATGTGAAGCTTCAACAGTGGTGAATTTTAAATCTGTTTCTATACTGGACAAAATCATCCTTTATGCCCCTCTCATTGCTGGAGCATCTGTTGCCACCTCAGTCTGAGTTCTGTAAGCATGTGTGCATTATTTATTACTTTTTTTTACTCCATTCCTCATTTCCTTAAAGAGGTGGTTCATTGTGATTTATTGGGTGCAAACTACAAAGCTAAGTATTTTTCAGGATGTAAGTTGTAGTGGTTGTGAGAAGGAATGAGACTATAATTCTCCCCCACTTTATTTTACTTCAGTATTTTCAGAGGGGAGGGGAGGATGTATTATTTCCATTAGACCTCTCCTTTCTTAATCACCATTCCCTAATTAATTCCCTGGTTAAATATAAAGCAAGCATTAGCTTTGAATAATGTTTTCCTGTGTGATTAAGTAAAGAAAAATTCCTTTCTTTTGTATGATGACTCATCGCCAGGGGATCTGGAGGAAGCCTGAGGGTGGATATTTGAGACTTTGGTCCCAGGTGCTCTTGTACCTTTGAGCTGTGTTTGCTGTCAGTCCAGAGGTGGGAGGCGAAGGTGATATCAGATAACAACTGCACACAAAGAAAATTGTCTCTCTTGTGAAACCATGTCCCTAACACGGCTTTGGTTTCTCCTGGTGGGAAACTGACTCTGGCTCACAGAAATGCAAATCTCCAGACAACACGTACAGCTAGGAGAAACGGAAATTGTCACTCTTGCTGACACGGTGTCTATAACCATCTCTTGTTGCATGATGCATTTTCTTTGGTGTCCAAGCTGGACTGGAAAATGTACCCTTTCTTTTCACCTGGCAGCTTCTGGTTCCTCTCCCTGCACTAGTCTGCAAACTTTTGACTTCTGCCAGTACAGCTGTGTTTGGTCCCACCATAAATCACATGTCTAAAAGAGCTGAGGTTAAAAATAAAAGGCTACAAAACAGAAAAGGAGGTTATAGTGAGTGAGGCAAAGAGGCAGGGGAGGGAAGGGCAGGGTTTAAGCTGGCCAAGCTTATTTTACTACTGAAGAAACTATGTCTAACTTTTTGCAGATAATGATTTTTTTTCCCTACCATTCTAGCTTATGGCATTAATTTTTAGCTCAAAAGACAGTTCTAATAATGATTTGCAGTTCAAATGTTGCTCATATCTTACAATGAGAAAAAGAAAGTGGTTTTATTAACATGGCAGCGAGGAAAACTTATGAAATATGTTTTTCATAATTAAATGAATATGCCTGTGAATTGACTGCCATAACAGTGAAGGCTACAATGTGTAATCTCTGGATGTTGAAAAACAGGCATTTAAAAAAATATTATTGGTTTTGAGAAAAAGTTCAGCAAACAGAAATCCCACTGATTTCTTTTTCTTTCATTTGTTTTACAGGCATTTCCCTGTATTTCAACAGGAATTTATGGTAAGTAAGACCTTGAATGTTGCTCATTGCTTATTCAGTTTTTCATATTATTACTATTTTAATCAGTGATATTTCATATCAAATGTCTCGTCAGTCATGTTGGCTTGCTAATCTATTTATGCTGTGTTAAATAACAGAGACCCAAAATCTTTGAGTGTGAGTGGATACTAGTGTGCTGATAAGTAGGATACTTAAAACCCTTAGCCTATGAGCCAAGACCCACAGCTGTGATGACACTTCTGCAGCTCCACTAACTGTTAAACACACTGCTGGGGCTTCACCAGGGGAAAACAGGAGTTTGGCAAGATTTTCCATCCAGAAGGCAAGCAAGCAAGACTTACCGGTGTCCAAGGCTGGGGAAGAAGTATGTTTTCCTCAAGCAAACTTGCTAGAATAACAAGAAATTGTCTTAGCTCCCTTGAGCTGTGCTTTGACATTTTTAATTTATTAATTTACGTTCAAATTAATACTGCCTGAAGAACTGGAGAGAAAGATTTCTTTTAAAAGTTGGTCGCTTGCTTTATTGTACTCTTAACCCAATCCACCACTAATAGTTAGCTGCTTTTATAGGTTGGCATTGCAGAAGAAGTGGGCATGAAGGAGAAAAAACACAAGCTGCTCAATATTTAAAAAAAAAATATGGAGACACTTCAGAGGACATGCAGATCCCCAGGGAACAAAAATATTTCTTCATTGAAAAGTTATATAGGCAATTTTTCTTTCATTTAAATGCATGTGAATGATAGGAAGTTGGATTACTTGTACAGTTTAAGGGTTTTAAAGAAACATGCTAAGGAGCAATACATTAAAAAAAACTCAGTCATCTAATAGTCTGACATAGCTGCTGCTGTGCAAAAATAACATATAGAGATTTTTAGAGTAATTTGAGTTTTGCCTAATCAAATACTGCAAATACAGAGGGGAAATGTGATGGGAATATTTAGGGTTGTTTCCTCTTTTTCAGGGACCTCTTATTTAAAATTGGGTGATCATTCTAAATCTGAGTTAGGCTTCAGAAGGTAGATCTGAATTACTTTGGGTGCTGTATCCTTTGCTACTTGAACTACACTTAAATTATTGCAGAAGAACATGCAGATGCCATTTTCACAAACACTAGAAGACTCTGAGTGTGGATCAGGTTTCAGATAAAGCTCTCCTTTGGTCCTTAGTTCAGGTCCATCTCTTGAACTTGCCAAGGAGCTCTGCATTTTAGTTCTTGACTCTTTGGCTTAAATCTTCATCTTTAACATAGACAAGTTTTTGTTATTAGTTTACAAAAACAGACAAGACATGGTGCAAATATATAGAAGTTACTTGTAAGTAGAATGTACAAATGTAATAGTTAATTTCATTTTAGAATTGACCTAATTAGTAGAAAAGGTCTCAGCAGGTGAGGGATATGGTGCCCTGAAGTCAGTAGAGAAAGTTGGACAGAATCTCTGGTAGGAATCTTGAATTTTCTTTTCCTGAGGTAACTGACACCATTGATTTTAACTGGAATGCTGCAGCATTGCTGAAACATTACACAGTGTGGCAGATGCTTTTCCAGTAATTGTTTGCTATATTTTCACCTTTGGAAATGAATTAAGACGTTTTTATGCTAAAATACTCTGTTTTTTCTGAGGCTGTTTTTTTGTTGTTGTGGTTGGTTTATTTTGGGAATACAATCTCTAATTGAATTTACTGTTTATGTTTTAAGAAATGCTTTCTCTGTTCCTCATTGGAAAAAAATCCTTTCCCTTTTTACTGACTCTCAGACATACTACCTGAGAGTAGCAATTAAACAGTCAGCCCTGCATCAGGCTTCAGGTGTCAATATTTTCAAGAATGTTTGATAGCAGTTACAGTGCTAAAATGCTGTGTGTTGTGTTTGAGATGTTAAGCACAACCAAAACCGGCAAAGTTATGCTTTCATCTTTCTGGTTTTCTTGGCATTTTTCCCACTATGCATGCCCATTCCTGTAGAAAAAGTCAGTGTCTAGACAAGCAAGTAGATCAGCTTCATTCCTGGCTTTATGTATTGTGCAGTTAACACTAGACTATCCCAATAAAATGTTACTGAAGGAACATGGAGCCTTGGTTTCTCACCTAAGACTGATACCAACAAATGCTGTCCCTTCAGAAACCCTTGGCTGAGAACTGAGTTTCACATCCAAATGGAAGGGGACAAACTTGCAAGAGATCAACTGAGTCTATCCAGTTTAAGAATCTGGATTGCATTCTGCTCCAAATGCTTAGATTGGTTGACCTTTCTACTGTTACTAGGAGAGAGTAGTCACAATTCTTGGGAAGGCAGTCCTTTCCTGTCTGCATCACTGCAGAGCACTCCTTTTCTCCCATAAAAAGGAAACTGGGAAGAAACAAGCAGGCAAGCCTCTTTCTGAGGTTTTGGCTAAAAGCAGATTGCTTTTCATGAGTGGGTGTTGGATAGAGGAAAGGTCTGCCTTTCTTCCTCAAACACTTTCCTGAGGCTCCGTCTCTACCCGTAGCACAGTGGAGGTTCCAGCTTAAACAAGTTAAAGCCCCAAGAAAGCCATTGCTATTAAGGCAGTGTGCCAGGAGTCAAAACTTGGATTTTAATGTGCTCTTATTTAAGGAGTGCTGGCAACAAGTTCACTCATTGGGGTATCTCTGGTTTAAAAGTCTGATAGCTTCAAATGAGGGATCAAATCTTAAAAAAATTAAGTAGAATGCAACCAATGCTGAATTTTTTAAAAGGACTGCGAAACAAGTAAGGGTCTACCTGTAGGTACTTTGGGGAAAAAAAAGGGGAAAAAAGATCTGTTATTGTTCCTGAGAGATTCCTGTCACCTCTAATATGCCTATAAACTGCTAATCTGTCTAAGAAAGCAAAGATGATGAAGATTCATATAGCCATGGATCCCTGGCTTACTCTTCTGTTGCAATAAATGCTTTCCTTTATATGAAGAGCACGAAGTTTAACAAACAAAACTGCTTCAGGAGGAGCACAGAGGACTTGTGTCACTCCCATGTCGTTAGGGGGGTACTGAAGTATCAAGCAACGGATCCTCAGCAGCTGCTCAATAATACTCAAATGTGAGCAAGGCTGCAATCTCAACCTTATCACAGCCTTTCTGTAGGCCAGCTAGATTTTTAGAAGGTTTCTAACATTTTGTCTCTTTTCCCTTTTCAAAGCAATTTTGCTATCAGTTTTAAAAAAAATAATAAAAGTGATAAAAATAACTCTACAGACTAGTCCATAGACCAGAGGGTAAAATATGTTATTTTAGGCTGTATTGTGTCAGATTATATTATACATAGTAAAACACCATTTACACATCCACTTTCCTCATTATTACTATCATGTTATATCTGAGGTACTGCCAGAAGATGTGGGGGGAAAAAAGGCAACTTTCTTCAGTAGATTTTATGGAAGAGAATTATCATTTCGTTAAGAAGCTATTCCCAAATTCTGGTGATTGCAACCTGCAAAGTGAACAAGGATGTCTGATACAGTGCTACAAACGTTACGAGCTGCAAAATTAAAACAAGGCTCTGCAGATGGGTATGAGAAGACGGGAATTTTCGTGTTTGTCACAATACTCAGTAAAGGGAGAATTATGGAATGGACCACATATGAAAAGATTTGAAGATGTTATGGTCTACGCACACCTACTTGTTACCTTCTTGCTGTTGTTTTACAGTAATATGGGGTTTGGCTTCTGTTCCTAAATACTTATGTTGGCAACATAAGCTGCTCTCTGGCAACATAATCAAATATTTTAATGTTATTTTAAACTTGATGGAGGAAAAAAAAATGAAGAGGGAAAGATAAAACTTTAAAAGAAATCTCCATTTGGTGGTGTGTTTCTTTTTTTGTCTCTACATCACTGTAGCTGTATATTTTACCTTAACTTGGCTTGTACTAGAATTATATTGTATATCCTTTCTGAGAAAAAGATAATGGCAGCTCTTCAGTTTTCTTATTAAGATAGATTTGCATTTCTTTAAAAAATACAGAGAGAGGAAGAAAAAGAAAAAGACCAAAAGCCATGAAACTGCAGAATGTCTGCCATGATTTAGGCATTGGAAACACACAGGTTCACCACATTTTAAACGCCTTCATTACATTGAAGCAAGACTTGTTTTATTAGAATCAGGTCACTTACACTTGTCGTTTTTGGCCTGGTGATGGCAAAAAATTGCAAGGTTGAATTTATTATGTGTTGCTAAAGGAGAGACTGAAAAGCAAGCTTAGAAAGCAAGGAAAGGGGGGGAAAAAAGTGTAAAAGTGCAGCGTGTCTAGGAAATAGAAGCACATAGTATGTTCTCAAGGCAGGAAGCAGGGAGAGATCACAGATCCTGTGCTCTGCCTCTGTCTGGGGAGAGAGGTCCCTTGGTCTAGTGCCAGCTCGTGTCACAGCTGTCCTGACCTCCAGTGCGTCCCCCTCAGTATCCAAAGAACAATTCTTCCTGCCAATCCACAAAGGGCTGGGAGCATGTCCATCAGCTTTTCTCCCCAAGAGGTGATCCAAGAGAGATTATAACAAGGGATTAACTGACAAGTGCGCTACTGAAGGATTATAAAAGCCCTCTGAAAATCTGAGTCAGAAGATGGAAAATAATGTTTTCAAAGGCAGAATGAATTCCTGACATAGGGCTAAAGGTTCAGGTAGTCTATTTCCATCTCTCCCATCTGTTTCTTCTCATTTTTTGTTGGCATTTCAGTTCTAAGATATGTATTTCTTTAATGAGCAATTTTAATAAGGCTTGGACTGTCATCTTTCCAAAGAAGGAGATAGCTGCAAATTTTTCAGAGCCCCTATACAGAAATGTATAATCAGTAACCAGGAGGCAGTCTTGTATATCCAGTTAGGTGCGTTGAGTCCCTGTAACCATCATGATGTCCTGATGCTGTATGTGATCACCAGCGTTTTAATATTGTGATGTCAATTATGGTGACCTAGGAAAATAAATATTATCATAAACATTTTCTATGATGCAGGGGTGGGAAAGAAAGGAAAATGCAGTAATTCTCA